GTTGTTGAGGAAAGAAACTGAAAACCATGAGAACTATTACTTGTTATGAGAACCATCACTTGTTGACAAAGCCTTGTAATATTTTCCTAATAAAAACCCTATGGGAGCTGAGGGACTCACTCTCTGCAGAGTGACAGTGAGCCTCTCTCCTTGAAGCTTGTACTTATCATCCATGTCCTGTGGTCCATTTCTTCAGAGAAACTACAGTTTCCACAGATAAACTGCAACAGAAAAAGACTTTATGAAGAAGAGTTCTGTGGCAATTGTAACAACAAAAATAAACAAATGGGACTTAGTGAAACTGAAAAGCTTCTGTATGGCTAAGGAGACAACAACCAAAGCAAATAGACAACCTACACAATGGGAAAGGATATTTGTATATTTTGAATTAGACAAAAGTTTGATAACTAGAATCTACAGAGAACTCAAATTAATCTACATGAAAAAAGCCAACAATCCCATGTATCAATGGGCAAGACAGATGAATAGAACCTTCTCTAAAGAAGACAGATAAATGGCTAGCAAACATATGAAAAAAATGCTCATCGTCCCTAATTATTAGAGAAATGCAAATCAAAACTTTCCTGAGATATCATTTAACCCCAGAGAGAATGGTCCACATCACAAAATCTCAAAACTGCAGATGCTGGCATGGATGTGGAAAGAAAGGAACATTTTTTATACTGCTGGTGGGACTGCAAACTAATACAACCTTTCTGGAAGGATGTATGGAGAACCCTCAAAGAACTCAAGCTAGACCTCCCATTTGATCCTGTAATTTCAATACTGGGCATCTACCCAGAAGAAAAAAAATCATTTTATCATAAGGGCACTTGCACTAGACTATTTATTGCAGCTCAATTTACAAACGCCAAAATGTGGAAACAGCCTAAATGCCCACCAACCCAGGAATGGATTAACAAGCTGTGGTATATGTATGCTATGGAATACTATTCAGCTATTAAAAAAGATGGAGACTGTACATCCTTTGTATTAACCTGGATGGAAGTGGACCACATTATTCTTAGTAAAGTATCTCAATAATGGAGAAGCAAGAATTCTATGTAGTCAATTTTGATATGAGGACAATTAATGACCTAGTACATAGTGAGGGGTGGGGAAAGGGGAGAGGAGGGAGAGGTAAGAAGGAAGGGGGTTGGGATGGGAAGAACAGAAAGAGGGAAAGAGGGAGGGAGGTGTGGGGTCTCAGTGTGTGACACACCTTTTAGGGGCATGGCACAATTATAAGAGGGACTTTACCTAACAAATGCAATCAGTGTAACCTGGTTGTTTGTACCCTCAATGAATCTCCAACAGTAAAAAAAAAAAAAAAAAGATAAAATAAGAAAAGGTCTCCAGCAACCAGACAGTAAGGGTCCACTGTCAGCTCAAGGGTGACTCCTTCTGGTATTCAGTAAAGTCAGGAAGGTCAGTCCAGCAAAAGAGTTAGTCCAGGGGGGTTGGTGCCTCCTTCCCCACCTTACAACAGAGCCACACCCAGTCACTGGTAACCCCTCAGGGCTGTTGCCCATTTCTCCCCAATGAGCCAAGGCACTGGGGATTTGCATCTGCTAGAGTCTAAGGGGAGTCAGTGCCTCCTTGGCTGAGCTGCCACACTCTGCCACGAGCAGGCACAAGGAGTTCAAGCCTCACTCTATCCAGTGCTCAGTGGAAAGTGGTAAGTGTTCCACCTCAGTCTGTTCCAAGCTGGGAGTGTTTCTCTCTCTTAGAGTCCGCCCCTCTGCCCAAGTTACACTCCTCCTTTGACACCCCTTCAGGGCAAGGTCTGGCTTCCTCTGGTGGTCCACAGAATTGGGGAGGTGTCTCTCCAAAATTTGGCCCCCAAGGGAATGCACCACTACTGCTGCCGCTGTACCACAGGTGCTGCCACATGTGGGTCCCCGTGCTGCCGCTACCATCATGCCTCCAGCCATACTGCTGCCACTGTCCTTCCACTGCTATACACGTTCAGGGCATGGGGCCAGTCCTTCTCCTACTGCATCTCCCCACTTCTACTTGAGTAATAGTTTCAGCGCAGCTGCGCTGTGGCCCATGCAATGCTCAGCCCTAGCAAGGAACCACCAGACACTCCATGTTCTTCAGTGGGTAGGCTTCTAGACCACCAGGTAAGAGGGGAAAGATAGACTGAGAGTTCAGACTGGCAGGAAAATATGTGTTCAACTTTTATGCCAGGCAAGAGAATGCCCAGGCTCAGAGCAAGATCTTTCTGGAGGAGTCCCAGCCATTAGCAGCTCTCTACCATGGGGTGAAACTTGTAGAAAGCACACAGCAAACCACTCTCTTGGGGGAAGGGATAGACTCTCATCTTCTTTGGGATGGGTTTTGTACCTGAAATTTGCTTCCCTGGTGTGATGGCTTGGCTCAGCAGGGATGACGTGCACTTATCAATCTCTCTCAGCTTAGCTCCCAAATTTCAGCTTTACTGAGTTCACTCATTCCATTATCTATCCCTCCAGATGGGAATTTCTGTTGAAAGCTGGCTCCAGTCAGCCATCTTACCTCCTTTTGACCCAGTTGAATTTAATTTTGTTTTTCTCTCATATAGGGCATAGTTATTTATTTACTGGTTTTATATTAGTATTGCATACCCTGGGGTACTTGCTATTTCATTCTTGTGATACTTTACTAAGAAGAATGTTTTTCAACTCTATCCAGGTTAATACAAAAGATGCAAAGTCTCCATCTTTTTAATAGCTGACTAGTATTCCATGGCATGTATATATATATATACCATCATTTTGCCACAAAACAATAAAAATTCTAGAAGAAAGAGTGTGAAGAACTCATGATACTATTGGCCTAGGAGAAGATTTATGAAGAAGACCCCCTTGGCAACTGCAGCAATACCAAAAATAAATAAAGGGGATATGATGAAGCTGCAAAGCTTCTGCACAGCTAAAGACAGAATAACTAAAACTAATGCAACATTCAGTATGGGAGAAGATACTTGTATGCTATGAAACTGACAAAGGGCTGATAACTAGAATCTTTAGAGAACTGAGACTAATCAACAAGAAAAGAGCAAATAATCACATTTATATGTAAGTAGGCAAGAGACATGAACAGAACCTTCTCTGAAGAAGATAAATGGCCAACAAACAGATGAAAAAATGCTCATCGTCACTAATCATCAGAGAAATGCAAATCAAAACCACCCTGAGCTATCACCTAGCTTTAGTGCAAATGGCCCACATCACAATGTGTCAAAGCTGCAGAAGCTGGTGTGGATGTGGAGAGATGGGCACACTTTTACATTGCTGGTGAGACTGCAAATTAATAAGGCCTGTATGGAAAAACCTATGGAGATTCCTCAAAGGGCTAAACATAAACCTTTCATTTGATCCCACAATCCCATTACTAGGTACCTACATAAGAGAAAAAAAAATCATTTTACCATGAGGACATTTGCACTAGAACATTCATCACAGATCAATACACAATCACCAAGACATGAACCCAAGTGCCCATCAACTCAGGAATGAATTAATAAACTATGGTAGATGTATACAATGGAATACTATTTAGCCATTAAAAGACGAAGCCTTTACATCTTTTATATTAACCAGGATGGAGTTGAAGTACTTTTTTCTTCGTAAAGTATCACAAGAATTGAAAAGAAGCAAGGGACTTGAATATAAATTTCTCTAAAGAAGAAAGGTGCATGGCCTACAGATATATGAAAAAATGCTCTCCATCCTTAATCATCAGAGAAATGCAAATCTAAACTACTTTGAGGTACCACCTAACTCCAGGAAGATTAGCCCATATCACAAAATCCCAAAACCAGAGATGCTGCCATGGATGTGGAGAAAAGGGAACACTGCTACACTGCTGGTGGGAATGCAAATTAATTCATTCCTTTTGGAAAGACATCTGGAGAACACTGAGAGAACTAAAAATAGACCTGCCATTTGATCCTGCAATTCCTTTATTAGGTATATCCAGAAGACCAAAAATCGAATTACAACAAAGATATTTGTAACAGAATGTTTATTGCAGCCCAATTCATAATTGCTAGGTCAGGGAAGAAGCCCAAATGCCCATCGACTCATGAATGGATCAATCAATTGTGGTACATGCACACCATGGAATACTATGCAGCCCTAAAGAATGATGGAGACTTTACCTCCTTCATGTTTATATGGATGGAATTGGAAAATGTTCTTCTTAGCAAAGTATCTCAAGAATGGAAGAAAAGGTATCCAATGTACACAGCCCTACTTTGAAACTATTCATAGCTTTTATAGGAATGTCATAACCTAATTATAGCCTTAGAATATGGGAAGGGGGTGGGAGGGCGAGGTGAGGGGGGTAGATGGGTGAAGGGAGGGAGACTGGTGGGGTCACCTCTATGGTTTATCTTACAAGGGTACAAGTGAATCTTTCTAAAAGCAGAGTATGAATGTTTTAACTCAATAACTAAGAAAATGACATGAAGGTTATGTTAACCAGTTTGATGAGAGTATTTATAGATATGAAAACAGTACACTATACCCCATGATTGCATTAATGTACACAGTTATACTATAAGAAATAAAAAATAATAAATAAATAAAAAAGAATTGAAAAGAATGTATCCAATGCACTCAATACCAATATGAAATCAATAGATAAACAAATTTACACTCACAGGAGTGAAAAAACACAATGAAATTCAAATAGGGGGTTGAGGGAGGAGGGAGAGGCATTGGAAAGCTCTTACATAATGGGCGCAATGTAAGTATATACAGCACAGCCCCTGGATTATGGGCTCAACTACAACTTGAACTTTACCCAACAAACACAGACATGTAACCTAATCATTTGTACCCTCATATTAACCTGAAATAATAAAAAAGAAACTATTTTTAACAGGACAATGTGGAAAAATTAAAAGTTTCTTAAAATTACAGACACAGATCACACTCAAAGTCCTCAAAGGCACTAATTTCCCCTTAAAATCATAGCCTTAATTAAGAAAAAGCCAGACAGAGACATACCTGAAGCTTGGTGATGATTTCCTGTTTTGTGAGCTCCACCAAATGGCTATCCTCTACTGAAAAGGCTGGGAAGGAAACCACTGAAAGTAGACTAGCATCAACTTCTTTGGATGTCGAAGCACGGGGCAGTAGTGAATTAAGGATAGACTAAGAAAGGAAGTTAAAGGTGATGCATTAAAATAAATACTTTGGCACTGTAAAACTAAGAGCTTTGGTATCAAAAGATTTATATGGAAGAAATAATAATTTCAAAATTATTATTTTATATTAAAATAATATTATTTATTATTAAATAATTTGAAAATTATTATTATTAATTGAATAATTCAAAAGATTTATTCAGAAGAAAACCTAAACCTAAATATTATTTAAAAGTGAGTACTTAGAAAATTAGCTGTTTCTATAAATCATCCTTTGTCTTAATACTGCTCTATGTGCTTTTCCCATTCTTAAACTGCTGCTCATAAATCAATAAAGTAAGAGAAAATGTAGCTTCTGAGAAGACAGCTTAGCTTTTGTATTTTTGACATATTTTTGCCCTGGAAAATTTTGTGTTATTAAAACCAGAAGGTAATTTTATATTCAATAGGACACAACGGGCTCAGTGCCTTTAACTCAGTGGTTAGGGCACCAGCCACATGCACTGGGGCTGGCAGGTTTGAACCTGAACTGGGCCTGCTAAACAACAATGACAACAATAACAACAACAAAAATAGCCGGGCACTGTGACAGGGGCCTATAGTCCCAGCTACCTGTGAGGCTGAGGCAAAAGAATCACTTAAGCCAAAGAGTTTGAGGTTGCTGTGAGCTGTGATGCCACAGCCCTCTGAAGGCAACATAGTAAGACTCTGTCTCAAGAAAAAAAAAAATAGGACACCATAGGTATCTAATCAGGGTTTGAGGAAAAGGAGAAAATTCCTCCTGCCAATAAAAAGAACCTAAATTGTTCAATACGTTTGAATGTTCAATAATCCTAAACAAAACTGAATACTTAAACAGTCCAATCTCCAAATATCTAATCCTAGAGTCAACCAGGAAGAAGAGAATGTTTTAGAGCCCCTATCAAAAACTTTCAAAATCTACTGTCCCCTATTCTCTTTGTATATTTAGAAAAGAAGATACTCAGGAATAGAGATCATATCTGCCCTTTGATAAGACAACAGTGGATAATTCCAAACACCATGGTGGTATCCCTTTATAACTTTGCATGAAAGAATGGGACTATTTTACATTCCATGCTATATATATCAGGATTATTTCAGTACAGGATGCTTGATAAAGTCATTTGGGGGGGGACACATGGTAATAATTAGATTATGTACTTTGATTCAGCTCTCCTTAATCTAAAGTTCATATTAAATCGGAGCCTCAGCAAGAATAAAACTTGCCATTTCCATTTTCCATACTCCCTTACCTGGCAGTGTTGCACTTCATCAGCCAGAACATGAATAACTGACTGAGGCCCACCTTTCACACCAAACAGGTCCAATTCATCTAATGCTTCCAGGGCTGCCTGTGAGGAACAAAGAAGATAACTGCATTAAAAGATACATTTAGAGGTTTTCTCACTAAAACCCTGTATATTATTAATGCACATGATGTGACTTTACCATAGGTAAAGTATTCCTTTGGCAAAGTTCCAAATAAGATATTAGCACATAGGAAGTATAGAAGTTGTGTGGCTATAAAGGTATTAATACAATAACCATTAGGTTATTACTATATATCTAAGTTTCCATAGAGAAGTGAATGCCTTAGAAAAATGCTACATTTCACTTTGAAGATGAAAGTTACTAGTTATCAAGGCAAAGGAGGAGTTTCCATGTATTTTTTGAAATATGCAATGCATTTCTGTTGACTATAGTCACCCTGTTGTGCAATAGATCTCAAAATTTGATCTTCCTATCTGAAATCTGTGCCCTTTGATAAACAATCCCCCATTCTCTGCATTCCTCTGGGGTAACTACCTCCCTTCAGCCTTGGGTAACAATCATTGTACTTTCTACTTCTATGCCTTTAGAATATACATTTTTAGATTGTACATGTAAGTGAGATCATAATGTTTTCTTTAAAAATAGAATTTATTGGCTGGGAACAATGGCTAACACTTATAATCCTATCATTTGGGAGGTCAAGGTGGGAGGATCACTTGAGGATAGGAGCTCAAAACCAGCCTGAACAACATAGTGAGACCTCATCTCTGCAAAAAATGCTTTAAAAATTAGCTGAATTTGGTGGTGAATGCCTGTAGTCCCAGCTATGCAGGAGGCTGAGACAGGAGGTTTGCTTGAGCCCAGGAATTTGAGGTTGCACTGATAATCCCACTGAACTACCCCTTTGCAGCAGAGCAAGACCATGTCTCAAAAAATTTATTAATTTTGTGTTTTTTAAACATATTTTCTCATCATAATAGTAAGATATATTCCTTATAGAATATTTTGAAAACATAGTAAAGTATAGAAAACATAGTAAAGTATACAAAAATCACCCAAAACAACTACTGTTAATATTTCTGACATTTATTTGTATTTTTTCTATGAATATTTGTATATAATTGAGATCATATTTAGTATCCTATGTTTAAGATTAATAATTATTAGTATTATATAGCATTAGGATTTGTCCATTCTACAAAAGCTCTTATTGTGGCATAACATTTTCACATGGCTGTAATGAAGTATATTTAACCATTTACCAATTGTCAGAAATTTAAGTTCACTCTAATTTTGTGCAATTGCAAACAAAGTTTTTTGTTTGTTTGTTTTGTTTGACAGAGTCTCACTTTGTCGCCCTTGGTAGAGTGCTGTGGTATCATAGCTCACAACAACCTCAAACTCCTGGGCTTAAGTAATTCTCTTGCCTCAGCTTCCCAAGTAGCTGGGACTACAGGCACCTGCTACAATGCCCGGCTATTTTTTGGTTGTAGTTGTCATTGTTGTTTGGCAGGCCCAGGCTAGATTCGAATCTACCAGCTCCAGTGTATGTGGCTGGCACCCTAGCTGTTGAGCTATAGTTGCAGAGCCACAGAGTTTTGACAAACATCTTTTGCTAAATTATAAATTACTTGAGGTCAGGGCACACAGTGTGGCATACAGTAAGTAGGCTCTTGATAAATGTCAAACTAACAAAATAATTCCTTGTTGCACTTTAGATTTTTTTTAAGCATTACCTTCTTTAAGTTGAATCACTAGGTCAAAGGGTATGAATAACTTTTTAAGACATAATGCTAAATTGCTTTTCATGCAAGTTGTACCAATACTAGCAGCATCTTCCTTATACAATGTGTTACCTCAAAATTTTTCCCAAATTTGGTAAAAATGATATATCTTTTGCATTTATTTACATTAAATTACTAATAAGGTTGAGTATTATTTTAAGTATTTACTAGTTATCTATAGTAAATTAGATAAATCAAGTTATCCTCGATTATGAAGTAGACTTAACCTGGTATGTGGGTAGAAGGCAGTTCTGGAAAGCTTCCCTAAGGAAATAACAGCAAATGTGAGACCTACAGTGTGAAGTAGAAGTTGGTCAAGCACAAAACTCATTAGTTATGATAAAGACTTCAGCAGCAATTGCAACAACAATAAAAATAAACAAATGGACTTAATTAAGCTGAAAAGCTTCTGCACAGCTAAAGACACAAGTAAAGCAAATAGACAACCTTCAGAATGGGAAAATATATTTGCAGGGTATGAATTTGATAAAGAGTTGATAACTAGAATCTACAGAGAACTCAAATTAATCAACAAAAAAAGACCAAGCAATTTCATTTCCCACTTGGCAAGAGATATGAACAGAACTTTTTTTTTTCTTTGCTTTCAGAGCTTTGGGGATTTCCTTTTTTTTTATTAAATGATAGCGGTGTACATTAATGTAATCATGGGGTACAGTGTGGTGTTTTCATATACAATTTAAAATATTTTCATCAAACTGGTTAACATAGCTTTTGTGTCATTTTCTTAGTTATTGTGCTAAGACATTTATATTCTACTCTTAGAAAGATTCACTTGTACCCCTGTAAGATAAACCATAGAAGTGATCCTTCCAATCACCCTCCCTCCACCCGTCCTCCATCCCCTCCCCACTCCCCATATTCTTAGGCTATAATTATGTTATAGCTTTCGTAAGAAAGCTATAAATTAGTTTCATAATAGGGCTGTATACATTGAATACTTTTTCTTCCATTCTTGTGATACTTTGCTAAGAGAACCTTCTTTGATGAAGGACAGACAAATGGGTAATAAACATTTGAAAAAATGCTCATTGTCCCTGATCATCAGAGAAAAGCAAATCAAAACTACCCTGAGATATCACCTAACCCCAGTAAGAACAGCCCGCATCACAAAGTTTCAAAGCTACAGATGCTGGCCAGGATGTGGAGAGAGGGGACCACTTTTACACTGTTGGTGGTACTGCAAACTAATACAATCTTTTTGGAAGGAAGTATTGAGAATCCTCAAATAACTGAAATTAGATCTCCCATTTGATCTGCAATCCCATTACTAGGCATCTACCCAGAAGAAAAAATATCATTTTATCATAGGGACATTTGCACTGTTTATTGCAGCTCAATTTACAATCACCAAAATGCGGAAACAACCTAAATGCCCATTAATCCATGAATGGATTAAGAAAGTGTGGTATGGAATAGTAGCGTACCATGTAATACTATTCAGCCATTAAAATGATGGACACTTTACATCTTTTGTACTAACCTGGATGGAGTTGAAACACATTGTTCTTAGTATCACAAGAATGGAGGAGCAAGAATTCACTGTACTAGACACTAATATGAAGCCAGTAGATGATCTAATATATGCCCACATAAGAGAAAAACTAAAATCAATTTAAGGTGGGGGGTGGAGAAGTGAGGGAGAGGAGGAAAGGTGAGGAAGGATGGGGGAAGGGTGTGATCCCACTTAATGGGCACAATGTTAGGAGTTATGGCACATCTCTTGGGGGCGGGACACAAATATAAGAAGGACTCTACCTAAAAAATGCAAACACTGTAATCTAATTCTTTGTACTCTCAAATTAAACAAAAATATAACTAGAAACAATTTTTAAAAAAGAAAAAAATGCTCATTACTGTCTTAGTATTCTACCCCTTGCTCCCCAAAATTCATGTCCTCTTACAAACAAATGCATTCATTCCAACACCACAGACCCAAGTCTTAATTAATTCCTGTACCAAGAATAAAACTTAAGAGTACAAAGCCTAATCTGTGAGCCTATGAAATCAAAATTAGTTACCTACCTTCAAGAATCTCTGTACCAAGTTACTGTCTTAGTATTCTACCCCTTGCTCCCCAAAATTCATATCCTCTCACAAACAAATACATTCATTACAACACCATAGTCCCAAGTCTTAACTAATTCCAGTACCAAGAATAGAGTACAAAGCCTAATCTGTGAGCCTATGAAATCAAAATTAGTTACCTTCAAGAATCTCTGGCTCCATCCCTGGGAAAGTCTCTGCCGGGGACCTCAATCTGTTGATACATCCTTTGAAATCTAGGCAGAAGGTACCATGCCCCCATACCTCTTGCATTCTGTGGGCCTGCAGAATCAACACCATATGTATGCCTGAGGTTGGCTTGTACCTTTTGGAATGGTGGCACAACTTGCACCTGTGGCTGCTTGAGCCACAGCTGGGGCAGCTGCCTAATAGCTACACTGGAGTACAGAGAGCAAAGTCCTGAGACAGTCCTAGGCAGTGAGCCCAGGGAGAATACCTCAGGTATGTCCATTTAAAACATTCTGCACTCCTAGGCCTTTGGGCCTGAAAGATTTCTGAAACGTCTTTGGGGCCTTTCTTCCACTGTCTTGAGGACAGCACCTGGTTCTTTTTATCCATCTTTTTCATCTTTTTAATCTCTTTAGCAAATGATTTCTGGGCTACCCAGTTAGTTTCCTCTCCTGAACACACTTACATCACTCTTTACATGGCCAGGATAAGATTTTTTCAAATCTCTCTGGTCTTTCCTTGTAATTATAAATTCTATTTTTAATTTATTCCTATGGTCCTGAACGTCAGCATAAACACCTAAAAGTCACCAGGCAGTTCCTTCTATATTTTGCTTAGAAATTTCTTCTGTAGATATCCTAGCTCATCACTCTGAAGTCTAGACTTCCACGAAGCCAACGAACATAGACAAGTTCAACTAAGTTCTCTGTCAACTTGTAAAAAGGATGACCTTCTAATATCTGTTTCTCAGTTCTATCTGAAATCTCATCAGAATGGCCTTTACAGTCCATATTTCTATCAGCATTCTGGTCACAATGAGTCAACAAACCTCTAAGGAGTTCTAAACTTTACCTAGTGTTCTTGATGAGAATCTACACTTTTTATAGCCTCATCCTCCAAATTCTTCTACACTCTACCCATTACATGGTTCCAAAGCTGCTTCTACATTTTATCTTGTTTGTTATCAGTAACACACCACTTCTTGGTACAAATTTTCTATTGTAGCATTTTCTATTCCTTATAACAGAATACCTGACAATCAATAATTTATACAGAAAATAAATTTATTTCTTATAGTTATGGAGGCTGAGAAGTACAACAGCAAGGAACTGCATCTGGTGAGTGCCTTCCTGCTGGTTTGGACTCTCTTCAGAGTCCTGACGCAGTGTGGGACACCACATGATGGGGGGGGCTGAGCATGTGAGCTCAGATCCCTCTTCCTCTTCTTATAAAGCCACCAGGCCCATTCCCATGATAATGTATTAACCCATTAACCTACTAATCTGATAATCTGTAAATGGATTAATCTCTTCATGAGGACAGAGCCCTCACAACCCTAGTTACCTCTTAAAGGCTTAAAGGCCCCACCACACAATACTGCCACAAGTTTCAACATGAAGTTTTGAGAGGAGCAACATTCAAGCCACAGAAAAAAATAATTCTCTGTGTGTTTACAAAAAGAGAGAAAGACAGAAAGCAAATGTTAAATGGAAAACTTGGGTAAAGTGTATAAGGAAACACTTTTTATATAACTCCTATAGCTTTTCACTAAGTCTGAAAAGATTTCAAAATAAATTTTAAAAAACATTTTAGTGGCTAAAAAAGTTTTAAAGTCAAATATCCAAAAACATTGATAATATCCAGAGTTAGTGAGGGTTTGAGAAAAATGGTATGTATGGTATATAATAGCATATAGCCCTCATACATGGATAGGGAAAATACATAAACTAGTGGAAAGTTTTTAAAAGACAATTTAAAAGTGTGTATTCCTTAACTTCAAGGTTCCATTCTTAGGAATATTTCCTAAAAAAAAAATTTGTGCTAACACTATAAAAATACTAGGATAGAGTGTGGGGAAAATACTTGAAGAAATTGGCCTGGGAGAATATTTTATGAGGAGGAACTCCCTGGCAACTGAAGCAGCACCAAAAATATATTACTAGGCTCTGATCAAAATAAAAAGCTTCTGCACAGCCAAGAATACAGTAAGTAAAGCAAGCAGACAGCTCTCAGAAGAGAAGAGATGGGAGAAGATATTTGCAGGTTATGTTTCTGACAAAGGTCTGATAACTAGAATCCACAGAGAACTCAAACTAATTAATATGAAAGGAACAAATAACTCCATTTCATTGTCGGCAAGAGACTTGAACATGAAGAAGACAGGCTCAAGGCCAACACACACATGGAAAAATGCATTAATCATTAGAGAAATGCAAGTCAAAACCACTTTGATATATCATCTAACTCCAGTAAGATTAAACCACATCACAAAATCTGAAAACTACAGATGTTGGTGTGGATGTAGAGAGAAGGGAACACTTCTACAGTGCTTGTGGGAATGCCAACTAATACATCCTTTTTGGAAGGAAGTTTGGAGAACACTTAGGGAACTAGTAGACCTACCGTTTGATGCTGCAATATGTATATACCCAGATGACCAAAAATCATTTTACAACAAAGATATTTGCACCAGAATGTTTATTGCAGCCCAATTCATAATTTCTAAGTCAAGGAAGCAGCCCAAGTGCCCATCAACCCATGAATGGATTAATAAATGTGGTATATGTATACCATGGAATATTATGCAGTCATAAAAAAGATGGAGACTTTCCCTCTTTTATGTTTACATGGATGGAGCTGGAAAATATTCTTCTTAGTAAAGTATCTCAGGAATGGAAGAAAAAATATCCAATGTACTATTATGTACAATTATGTAAAAATATCCAATGGATATGTAAAAATATCCAATGTACTATTATGAAACCAATATATAATCACCTGTTCTTTCATATGAATGATAAAACACAACTATAGCCCAGAATGAAGGAGGGAAGAGGAAGGGGAGGGGAGGGGAGGGGGGTGGCTGGGTGGAAGGAGGGTAACTGGTGGGACCTCACCTATTGTGCATGTTGCAAGGGTACATATCAAATTTAGGAGTAGATTATAAATGTCTTAACAGAACAAATTAGTGAGGTGAAGGCTATGTTAACCAGTTTGATGTAAGCATTCCAAATTGTATATAAAATCAGAGCATTTTACCCCCTAAATGCAGTAATGTACACAGTTATGATTTAATTAAAAAAAAAAACCTAAATTCTGGTATATGTATACTATGGAATATTATACAGCCATAAAAAGATGGAAACATTACAACTTTTATGTTTACCTGGGTGGAGCTGGAATATATTCTTCTTAGTAAAATATCTCAAGAATGGAAGAAAAAATATCCAATGTACTCAGTACTATTATGAAACCCATATATAATCATCTACACTTTCATATGAGCGATAAAACACAACTATAGTCCAGAAAGAAGGAGAGGGGAGGCCTAGAGGAAGGAGCATATTTGGTGGGACCTTACATAATGTGCACAATGCAAGGGTACATGTCAAAACTATTAAGAGTAGAGTATAAATGTCTTAACACAAAAAATAAGTGAGGTGAAGGTTATGTTAACCAGTTTGATGTAAGCATTCCAAATTGCCTATAAAATCAGCACATTGTACCCCATAAATGCATTAATGTACAGTTATGATTTAATAAAAAAATAAAAAAACAAAAATAGTTGTGCAAGTTTACCAGCATGCATGCACAAATATCCTTATCAAAGCATTATAGGAATAGCAAAATAATTGGAGACAATTTCATCAATAGAGAAATTATTAAATACTATGCAGTGACCAAAAAGAATCAACTAGCTTTATCTGCACAAAGTGACATGGATAGATATTTGGTTATGATGGTCAGTGAAACATGAGATTATTAAATGATAAAAATCTGGTTATATAGAGTAGGTATAGTAGGATCTTAAAAAAAACCTAATATCTACATCACTTTGGTAATTTAAAAATATATTAAAAAGAAAATGTTTACCCAGGGGATATTTGATAGGTACAAAGTTCCACATATATTTATTATTCCAACTGCATAAATTATAGACCTCAAATTTTCTATGATATTATTTTTGGTTTATTGCATGAATCATAGCCTGAAAATGTTTTTGATAAAATTATTCCCTTATAGTTGTGGCATTTTGCCTTGTATTTCTAATATATTTTGTTCTTTATTATTTAAAACTATACTCTAGACTAGACTTTCTTATTATAGACTAATATAGTTCAGATAACTATCCACTTCAAATCTCATGTTGAAATTTGATTCCCCCAATTGGAAGTGGGGCGTAGTGGGAGACAATTTGGTCATGAGTGTGGTCCCTCATGAATGTCTTCGTGCCCTCATCCCAGTAATAACTGAGTTCCCGGCTGGCACAGTGGATCATACCTGTAATCCTAGCACTCTGGGATACCAAGGCAGATAGACTTTTTGAGATTGGAAGTTCAAGACCAGCCTGAGCAAGAGTAAGACCCTGTCTCTACTAAAAATAGGAAAACTAGCTGGACTTTGCAGCTGTAGTCTCAGCTACTTGGAAGACTGAGGCAAGAGGATTGCTTGAGCCCAACGGCTGTGAGCTATGATGTCATGGTACTCTACCTAGGAAAACAGAGTGAGACTCTGTCTCAGAAACTAAAGAAAATAAGTGTGTTCCCATGAGAACTGATTATTTAAAAGAGCCTGACACTTCCCTTTCCTGCATCTCTTGCTTTCATTTTTGCCATGTGATACACTGGCTCCCCTTAGCCTCTAGCTATCATCAGAAGCAGATACTGGTGCCATGCTTAACATTTTGCAGAATCGTGAGCCAAAATAAACATTTTTTTTCTTTATAAATACTCTGCCTCAGGCATTACTTTGTAGAAACGCAAAAATGAACTAAGACATAGGCTGTGCCTTTAAAAATTCTATCATGACCCTTTATTACATGTGATACTCTTTGCTCTGAATTCTACTTCATTTGACACTCCCATAGTCACATCTATTATTTTTTGTTTATGTTTGTCAGACTTTACTTTGACCATCCTTCTCCTTGTAATCTTCCTATATCATTTTGTTATATTATACGCAATATACCAAATTCTGACAATTAAGTTTATGAACTCATCCTAGACAAGGTGCTATATACCTCATTGCTGAATATCACTCTGTTACCTTCGAAATGCTCCCCTTGGGAAGCTATGCAGTGATGCCAGCACCTGATCTATGGTTCAAAGCAATTCTGCAACTCATATTCTGGAATGACTATCAGAGCAGTCATGGTATGTGACACAAAAATATACAATAACAATAATGAGCAGCACTCAGAAAGACACCACCACACGTTGACATGAATATAGCTGTGAGACACTAATATACCAAGGTTATGAAACCTTACCAAGTTCTTTGTATAGTTCTGCCAACATAAGCACCAGGTGGCAAGTTCATAAACTTGACAGACCTGTATATGATGACATCTCTGATGAGAGAATATGAATTTTGTCTATGGTTTAAAATAATAATTTGGTGATGTATCATATTCACATTAAGTTTTTATATATGGCAAAAATGGACCAGACTTACTTACCCCATACTTGATGCAAACAAAAAAGAAAAATTACCTTTGCCATTCCAACTGAACTGGCATTCAATTCTGAGATCCCCTGGTTGGTCTTGTCTCCACGTTCCCATATCCCAAAGTCCTGTCATAAAGTAACAAAATATACCATTAACAAATCATAACTAGTCAACACTCACTGGGTGCACAACCCTTGAATAAAAGACACCACTAGTAGCTAATGTGCTATACAAATATACACCCACAATGCTTACAAAGGAGATACCATTCAGTTGAATGGTCCCTGCAGCTAATTTTCCAGAAATTTTAAATTCTTATTGGGGCATCTTAGAAGTTAGAAGATTCCTTAAGAGTTAATCAGGAGGACTAGGAACTATAACTTTGTCCATCTAGAGAGGAAATTCTCAAAAGTTTTCATCAAAGCAAATACCCAAGGGATCTAGAAGATGGAGCCTAAACAGCTAATTTTACTCTCTATTGACACTGTTCATGTACCAATCTATAAGTTTTATATTATCCTGTTCCTTAATCTTTATATTTTAAATATGATGAAACTGAGGTACAGAGAGAGGTTAAGTGACTCAGTCAACATTAATAGCTAATAACTGACAGAGCCAGAATTAATCTCCAAGTAATCTCACCCAAAGCCTACTCTCTTAGCCAAAGCTCTATACATCCCCTCAACAATATAACTTTTTAAATTACTTTTTGAAATTTTTTATTTTAAAATAACTTTAGACTTACAGAAAAGTTACAAATAGTATACAGAGTTCCCATATACTTTTTATTCAGCTGCCCTAATGTTAACATGTAATGTAACCATAGTACAATCATCAAAACTAAGAAATTCATGTCAGTATAATAGTATTAACCAAACTGTGGCCTTTATTCAGATTTCACCAGGTTTTCCACTAACAGCCTTTTTGTATTCCAGGATCCAATTCAGAATTTCATATGGCATTTGTTATTTCTCCTTAGTCTCTTCCATTCAATGATAGTTCAAGACTTGTCATTGATGACCCCAGGCTTTTGAAAATTAGTGAGCAAGTACTTGGTAGACTTCCCTCAATTTGGGTTCATTTGATGTTTTCTTGTGATTACACTGAGGTTATGCATTTTTGGCAAGAACACATATTACAGATATGTCAGACATTATACATGTCCTCAAAGTTTCATAACAGACATATATGATGCATCTTATTACTGGTGATGTTAATCATTATCACTTGGTTACTGTGGTGTCTGCTGACTTTCTCCATTCTACTGTTAATATTTGACCTTTTAATTAATAAATATCTTGAGAGATATACTCTAAGATTTTGTAAATATCTTGTTCCTCCTCATTCACCCATTAATGTATTCATTGGTGGATCTTGCCTGCAACAATTATTATAGTGGTGCTTTCCTGGTGATTTTTCTAGTTTCTTCATTACTTCTATAATCAATAATTGCAATTCTTCTCTATGAAAGGGATGTCCTTTCTCCCCTATCTATTTATTCATTTATTTATTTACTTATTTATTTATATCACTAGAAATGTATGGATATTTAGGATTTCTCTGGCTTGTAATAAAATGTTATCACTATTTCATTGCTCAAATTGTTCTAGCTTTAGCCATTGGGTATTCTTTTTTTTTCCTTTTCCTTTTTTAAAAATTTCAGAATGCTAGGGGAAGTATACATTTTTTGTTTAAATACTTTGTTTTTGTACAGATTGAGTCAAAGTTATACATGTAAGTTTGTCCTTCACCCAAATAGTATGCACTGTACCCAAGAGATGTGAATTTACCCACCCCCTCCTCCCACTTTTCCCCTCCTCCCAGCTTGATTTTCATTGAGATTTACTACAGTATGTACACTTCAGTGTTGATCTATTAGTTCCAATTTGGCATTGAGTACATGTGTTTATTTCTCCATTCTTGTTATGTTTCATGTAGAAGAATTGTTTCCAGTTCCCTACAGGTTGTCCAAAAAGATACTAGATTGCCATTTTTTATGGTTGAGTAGTACTCCACAGTATGCATATACCATATCTTATTAATCCCTTTATGTATTGACGAGCAGTTGGGTTGTTTCCATGTCTCTATGATTGTGAATTGTACTGCTATAAACATCTGAGTGCTGGTGTCCATTTTACAAAAAATTACTTTTTTCCTTTGTACACTTAGCAGTGGGATTGTTGGATCAAATGGTAGGTCTACATTAAGTTCTATGAGGTATCTTGATACAATTTTCCATGGAGGTGACAGTACTTTGCAGTCCCATCAAAAGTGTGTAAGAGTTACTTTCTCCCTGCATCCATGCCAGCATGTGTTGTTTTAGTACTTTTTCATATAAGCCATTCTTGCTAGAGTCAGGTGATTTCCATTTCCCTAATGATTAGAGACACAGAGCATTTTTTCATGAATTTGTTAGCCATTAGTATATCTTCATTTGAAAAGTTTCTGTTCATGTCTTTTGCCCACTTTTTAATGGGGCTATTTGGTTGTTTCTTGCTGATTTGCTTGAATTCTTTGTAGATTCTGGCTATCAGTCCTTTATCAAATATATAGCATGCAAATATTTTCTCCCATTCTATGGATTGTCTATTTGCTCTTTCGTTTGTGTCCTTGGCTATGCTGAAGCTTTTTAATTTGATCAAGTCCTATGTATTTATTTTTGGTGTTGCTGTGATTATGTGATAAGAACAATTAACAAAATAGGCATAGATGGGGCTTACCTTAAAATTATAAAGGCCTTATATGACAAACCCATTGCCAACATCATATAGAATGGGGGAAAAGCTTAGAACTGGAACCAGAAAAGTTAGCCCACTATCTCCACTTTTGATCAGCAAAGTGCTGGAAGTCCTACCCAGAGCAATCAAGAAACAAAAGAAAATGAAGGATATTTAAATGGGGAAAGAAGAGCTCAAATTATTTCTCTTTGATGATGACATTATCTTATATATTAAAAATCCCAAAGAGTCACCCAAAAGATTCCTGGAGTTGATAAATTCAGTAAAGCCTCAGACTACAAAATAAATATACACAAATCAGTAGCTTTCACATGCTCTAATAATAGTCAATCAAATAAAAGATACAATGACTTTCTCAGTGACAAGAAATAAAATAAAATACCTAGTAATATACTTAACAATGGAAGTGAAACTGAGGAAAGAAATTGCAAAAGGTGTAAAGTGATGGAAAATTATACCATGCTCATGGATCTTCAGAATCAACATTGTTACAATGGCTATACTATCAAAAGTGATTTACAGATTCAATATAATTCCAATTAAAATACCAACACCATTTTTTGCAGATCTAGAAAAAATAGTTCCACATTTCATACGAAACCACAAAAGATCCCAAATAACCAAAGAAACCTTGCACAATAAGAACAAAGTGGGAAGCATCACTTTACCGGACTTCGAGCTATAGTATAAGACTAGGGTAACCAAAACAGCTTAATTTTAGAAAAAAAAACAAAAAAACAAAAAACCCAGAGCCATAGACCTATGGATTAGAACAGAGAACACAGATACGAAATATACATATTCTCACTTTATCTTTGACGAAACAAATTAAAAGATATACTAGGGGAAAGAATCCCCATCGAATAAATGGTTCTGGGAAAACTGGACAACTACATGCAAAAGACTAAAACAAAACCCATACCTCTCTGCACTCAGGAAACTTAACTTACAGTGGATAAAAGACTTAAACTCAATATGGAAATCTGTAAGAACCCTAAAAGAAAATGTTGGAAAAACTCTTAATTAAAATTGGCCTAGGCAAATAATTCATGAAGACCCCCAAAAACACTGGGTATCTTTGAGGTTGCCTCTGTGCCCTTTCAACATGCCCCATTCCTTTTTGAACACTTCTTCACTTTTTGGCACTGGAAAATGCTCCAATTGCAGATTGTACTTTTCCTGCTCCAGTCCTGAAATCAATCACATCCATAAGAATCCCTGCTTTAGTTTGTTAGAAAATGATAAACTTAAGACCTGGGCAGTGGGTATTGTTATTGTCACTGCCTCTAAGCTCCGTCATTGAATGGAAATTGAAAACAGACATATGCACATGTATTTTTTGATACTTTTCTTTTAATCTGAAGAAAATATGACAGTTAACATTTGAAAATTGTTAGTAGTAACAACAAAGGTTACTTCACCACTCTACTTTGAACTTTGATATATTTAAACATTACTTTTTAAATTTTTATTCTTCAGGATTCATATAGAGTACAAGAAACCAGCTTACACTGATTGCATTTGTTAGGTAAACAACTCTTACAATTGTGTCTTGCCCCCAAAAGGTGTGTCACACACCGAGACCCTACCCCCTCCTTCCTTCCCTCTCTCTACTCTTCCCTTCTCCTACCCTCCTCCTTCCTACTCTCTGCTCTTACTTTTCCCCACTCCCTCCCTCCTTCTCTCTCTCTCTCTGCTCTCCCCTTCACCCACCCCCACCGTGTAGTAGGTCATTAATTGTCCTCATATCAAAATTGACTACATAGGATTCTTGCTTCTCCATTCTTGTGATGCTTTACTACGAAAAATGTGGTCTACTTCCATCCAGGTTAATAGAAAGGACATAAAGTCTCCATCTTTACAATGGCTGAACAGTATTCCTTAGTATACATATACCACAGCTTGTTAATCCATTCCTGGGTTGGTGGGCACTTAGGCTGTTTCCACATTTTGGCGATTGTAAATTGAGCTGCAATAAACAATCTAGTCTAAGTGTCCCTACAGTAAAATGAGTTTTTTCTTCTGGACAGATGCCCAGCAATGGAATTGCAGGATCAAATGGGAGGTCTAGCTTGAGTTCTTTGAGGGTTCTCCATACTTCCTTCCAAAAATGTTGTATTAGTTTGCAGTCCCACCAACAGCGTAAAAGTGCTCCTTTCTCTCCACATCCATGCCAGCATGTGCAGTTTTGAGATTTTGTGATGTGGCCCATTCTCACTGGGGTTAGATGATATCTCAGGGTGGTTTTGATTTGCATTTCTCTAATAATTAGGGATGATGAGCATTTTTTCATATGCTTGCTAGCCATTTATCTGTCTTCTTTACAGAAGGTTCTATTCATCTCTCTTGCCCTTTGATATCAGGGATTGTTGGCTTTTATCATGTGT